CTCTAACCTGTGTTCTTATGGAATGAATAGACTATGGAGAAAGTTTGTGGTTTATTTCAGAAACTTTTTTGACATTTGAAAAAAAATCTCTTGATTAACACCAAAACTTAAAAAACCTAAAAAAGTAACTCAAAAGATAGCGTCCGCAGCGTCCCGCTCCCAAGGAATGAGGACTCCTAACCTAAGGGGAGGGGATTAACACCACCACTAAACCTTTGACCTTCATCTGAACCCTCCCGCGTAAACGCAGGTCCAATCATGTTGTCTATCTTCTTTTCCATTTGCGCTTCTATGTTGGGTCCCTATACCCTAAACCCCAAACCTTAAGACCCCAACCTTACACCCCAAACCTTAAACCCTAAACCCTTATAAACCCCACTTTAAGGGAGGCCTCGAGCCCGCAAAACCTGACAAAGATCCTCGGCCAAGCAATGCTCGTGGTGATTTTGGGGTTTCTCAAGAGGAGGCGTACCATTTTTGGGGGTCCCCTTCATAAGGATTAGAGTATTCGGGGGTCTAGTTTAGGGTTCCCTTATTTTGGGAAACTACCATTTCGAGGTAAAGTAAGTTTGTGATACAAGGTCTAGGGTTTAGGGTTTGGGGTTGAGGGTTTGAGGTGTATGGGTCCCTATTGAGGGGTTATAGGGGATGTATGGGGTTATATAGTAAGCTTTGGAGGGTTGTATAGGGATAACGGAGCATGGAAGTTACTATTTAGTCTTTAGGGTGTAATGCTTATGTTGTAACCCCAAGAACGGTGAATCAATTAAACTGGGATGCAATCGTGGTTCACTAGTAGGGTTCAGGGTCTAAGGTGGAGAAGAGTTCGAGGTTTACTAGGTCAGGTTTAGGGTTTAGGAACGCATGAATATGGATTCCCACATGGTGGGCTTTATCTGTTTCCGGCAGCATCCCTAAAATTAACAACACCTCTTAGCCGTGCCCCTGGCTCTGGACGGGCAGTTGTTTTAGAGGGAAGAAGCCGCGCTTTTGCTGACTGGTCACAGACGCTCTTTTGGAAAGGTCGCGGCAATGAAAAACTCACCCCTTCCAATCCACTGTACAAATCTGATCTGTTACAATTCCGCGGACGGGCAGTGACAGCGAGTCATCGCACGCATGAGACACCCTAAACTAAACCCTAAGGCCCTAACCCTTGAGGTTCGTGCCTGATTGAGGCAACTGACGCTGTGTCCAGGCGCCCAAACGGCGCTCTGAGCCTCAGATGCCTCAAATGATAAGCTGCTGAGCTGCCAAGTACTCCTCCACTGTGAACTCCTTGGCACCTCCATAGAAGTCGATGAAGAAGAAGCTTGAGATGTTCTCCTTGGCCATCCAATATGGCTTGAAAGAATGTGCTTTGCTCCATTCCTTCATCTGTGGGTGCTTGCTGAAGAGATAGCTCAGTGCCAGATCGCTCTCGGGCCCATCTGGGACCTGGTAGTTTCCAACAATAGGGAAACCCCAAAATAGACCCTCAACTACACGAATCCTTACTGAAGGGATCCCCAAGAAGATCCACCTAATTCTGGTAACCCCCAGCCCCCCCCCCACCGACCTGTGTGAGCTTCCCTGCTATGGTGAGGCGAGCGCAAGGCGGGTCCTCTGCGGTGGACTTGCAGCCGATGGCTTTCTCCGAGAAGGTCAAGGACATGCGAGGATCCGCTAGGATGTCCTGCGTGGCCTGGGTTGCTGATCAGGAACTTAAAACGCAGCCAGCAGCTACCAGAATATATGTCTATGTCATACTATGGAGTACATACCCTGCCCCAAAATTAACATGGAACCTGGAAAAGGGGCCCTGTATAGACTATTATCATTCAACAGGAGCTTATTTCAGGTTCCCTGTTAGTCTGGGGCAGGGTATTTGCTATGGCTTCCCCATAATGGTAGCACGAGCCTGAACCCTAACTCCTAGACCCTAGACCAAAACCCAAAACCCCTAAACCTCTAAACCCTAGCCCTGAACCCTAAATCCTAGACCCTCAGCCCTGAACCCTAAATCCTAGACCCTAAACCCTAAGCCCAGCGACAGCATCCTCAGGGGGCAGGTACGTGTAGACGATGCCCGTGGAGAGCGTGGCGTTGCCATCGGTGACGGACATGATGTCGCCAAACGGCTGGCCCTGAACAATAAGAACAAATAGCAATAGTAATCATAGACAATAACAATAATGGCAATAATAAGGATAACAGCAAATGGTAATTTCCATCATTCCAACCTTGAAGGCGCAGCCCAGGCGTTCACTGGCGCAGCTGGTGGAGGACACCGCGTAGTCGCTGCTATGCACCAGCCACCTTGCCACCTTGACCTTGGTTGCCCTTTAACCTACTTGAACGTAATGAGGAATAAAGGAACATATCATTTAGGGGTTATATAGGGATTATATTCCTTTATTCCCCACTAATCGCCAATAGGTTAATCCCCCACTGAGAGACTTTAAACCTTTAGCTCCCTTCATGTGAAAGAGCGGACTCCCAATAACTACAGAAAGCTAAACCCTAAGCCCTAAATTGTAGCAAATTCCCACCTAGGGACATACTCAAAAAAAGGAGGCCGGTTGGAGCTGGCGCCACAAATCACAGCCAAAGAGAGGAGGCGAAATCCGAGCATCGTCTACAACCTAACCTTTGCTGCTGCTACCTCTCGAGATCCTTGAGCTGGAAGCAAGACTGGACTACCATTATTGGTATTCTTGTTATTACTGACGCTATTTTGCGATTACTAGCATGATTATTGTTCTTAGTAGTATGCCTGTTATTATGTCCATTTTTACGGTTATTACCCGTACTAGTATACCTACTAAGACAACTATTACTATTTGTTGGCCACCGCTCAGACCCGCGTGCCATGGTTCTGCCAGGTTCTGATGCCTAGAAAACTAACAACAAATTCAGCATCTGTTGCATTGGCCTGGCATCTGAGGCATCTGCTGTAAACTCCTAGTATCCCCCTGAATTATCCTATACTAGTCTCTCTATATAATCCCCTGTATAGCCCTTCTTCAAGGAGTTTAGACTATAGCTCATCTGAGGCATCTGCTACTGGTCAGAAGATCATGCTCTCCACTCGACTCCGCCCAGCTCCTGGCATCGGGGACGCCTAGCGACCCTTAAGTTCATAGCATGCGGGGAAACACAGTATTACCTCTTTGACCTCGGGGAGCTAGAGGTCGGGATGGGTAACCATCTTTCTGTATTAGTTAATGTCATGCCAAACTGCATGCATGTCTGTTTCAAGGACACCTTTACTAACCCGTACCCGCACTCCCAGGGCCCCCGGTCCGGAAGTACACCCAAGCGTCCTGATGAAGACCCTCGAGGACAGCTTCGTGAGGACCTGCCGCGAGAGGGCATCCTCCTGGCAGACGGCACAGGGCGTAATCCAATATGTGGCGCTCGCATCAAACAGTCAGCACGTATTTAGCTCATGCTTACACTCTTTGCGCATTAAGGTTCCGTGACTTGGTAGCCTCTCTCCGTGACAATGGATTACAAGGCCAATTTGAGTTCGTATATTCAGAAGGATCGCCACAGCTTCTCAAGTGAACAACGCAAGCTAAACGCTGGCAAGGCTGACCTGTAGAGCTCGTCGAAGTGGTCAGCGGTGTCCCCGTCAATGAGAAGGCGCATGGAACCCGGCACAGTCTGAAACCTAGAAGAATTAAACCAACCATCCCTTGCCACTGATGGAGGCTACACACGTATTGGAGGGCACAATGTTTTGCCTTTTGCCTGGCACTGCATCCCGAGTGGGATGAAGTCGCCCCAGTGGTCCAATGGCAAAGTGGGCGAGGGCTTTGAAAGCTCCTTGCAACACAGCCTTCAGGCCATCAAATGCCTGGACATGAAATTTCCGCTGTAGGAGCTCCCGCTGGATGTCTACAATCCTCGCCCCAGGAGGCATCGAGTTCGTAGCGCATACCAAGGCCTACTGGGAGGGCCAGGAGGGCTTAGTAAGCAGGTTGATAACGGTGGCACCTGGCTTTTTGTTAATGTACCCGCTGACTAAACATGCTCTGGGCTCAGGGTATGAAGGGCTTCAGGTCAAAGGTAGAAAGGGCCTAGGGTTTGGGGCTTGGGGACGGAGAGCCACTGTAACATCCCCTACTCAGGGGTCTCCCTTAATGTCTCGACACATTTATGTCAAAGCCATCAGCACTGATCAGGAAACCTGCAACCCTAAACACACCAATACCAACCAAAATCTCACAAACCCTAATGATCCAAGGACCCAAACATGAGTTTTTGGCACCAAGTACCATGATCTGAATGTATCAATCATAGTTGGGTCCTTAGACCCTTGAGCAAACCCAAAGCTCAGAGTCTACTTGCACCGAAACTCGTCAAAATGCAGATGTGATTTCCTCATCCCTGATTTACGATCCCAAAATGGACCCGTCGTTCTCCACACATATCCGTACGATGGATTGCTCTTGTACCACCTTGTATAGCTATGCCGAGCCTATGCCCCAGGGATTAGAGATTCCACCCCTAGAGTTTAGGGTTTAGGGTGGGGTCCCTAGGTGATGCAGGATTTCCTCCATCCACCGTATATCTCTGAGGTCCCCCATTTTGATTGTGCCTGAATCGGCGGTTGTCGCGAAGGTCCTGGACATAGACCTCCTGTCGAGCACCTAGCCAACTTATGCTCAGAGCTGATGGCTTAGACTCACTTTCGGTACAAAAAACTCTGCATGATCTTAGTAATCATGCTATTCTACCATACTTCTGATCTAAAGGGTACTTACTTAGGATCATGCATGAATGTTTCTACCGTAGGCTTTAGGGCTAAGGTTTAGAGTTCGCGTGGCGCGCTTGGGGTTGAGAGGGTTCGCGAAAGGTTCCAGATGTATAAGGCATTTTCCGATAAATCTAGGTTCCCAAGCCCCTGGGAGGTAGACCCAAAGATGGTACCCTTTCTAGTAAGGATCTACTTTCCATATCCTATCAGGACCTGGGCTTCGGTAATGCGGTATGCCCCCTGCTACGAACACAACCATGGAATCTCAAGAAATCTTGAACAAGCCAAACAACTTGGGGGTTAAATTCGTCAGGATTGGGTTCGGTGGTGAACTATACCGTACTTATGTAGGGATTACTTACTGGGGTTAGTAGGGAAAATGGGAATATGTTATATAGGGATTATGTGGGGATCATGTTCCCTTACTCCCTTCTAAGAACCAGTAAGATTATGAGGGGACAAGATTGGAAATCATGTAGGCTTCTACATTAGATCGCAATCACAGATTCTCATGTACCATTTTGTTTCTTCACTGAACACAAGCCTAGGTTGCGTAAGAGTTGTGCAGCAATCATTTTGCTAGCGCTTTTGTTCTAGCCCGTGCTGGATTTGTCAAGTTTGCGCCAGTATGTGTAGCCTCTTTGTAGGGCTCTCCCCTTTCTCATCTTGTGCTGTTTTGGTATGGGGGGGATCACCGTGAATCATCATGACGTTTAGTACCCGCCTCCAGAGGCTGCAAGCACCACGTGTTTGTGATACAGCGAAGGCGTGTGTATTTGTAGAATTCACCATTCTTCCGATGTGCTGTCTCAACGCTAACGTGAAGAATGTCCTTAAAATGGAGAAAAGGCCTTTAGATCAACCTGGATCCCTCTGCAGCTCAAAGGAGGCGGCAAGTAGTAGTATTGCCGCACTGTCGAAAACCATAGGCTGGAAGCCCAGTTACCCATATAGTAGGCTCCTCGGCTATAGGTAGAATGGATTCTCAGAAGGACTTAATAACAGCGACCTATTCAACATGTAACTCAGCCTCCAGTGATAGGTCAAATGTTTGTAGAATGCCCGGGTGTACATTGCAGACTCCGTTGCAAAAAACAGCCAACCAAACTGGCTGCTGCAAAATCTGAGGGCTAAACGAGATCTTCCCCGGGCGGCCTTTGAGGCAAGCTGGGAAGGAACATATTCCCCAAATGAAGAAGGTTTCAGGGGAATGGTACTGCTGCCCACTATCCAGGATTCTGCATGCGCTTGTCTCAAGTTTCTCGCTCTGGCAGCGTTTACAACAAGGCGTTCTACACATTTAATTACTAAGCTTCCATACGCAGGGTGTCCTAATATGGACACCAAGAAACTACAATCCTCATCATGCGGACCCCCCAAAATGTGCGTACTTTGACATGAAAACAAACGACCTCTCGACAGGAGTCTCCGGCTGAGAGTGTTGGGATGTTTGCTCCTAACCACTTGGACCACTTCCCCTAATAATCAGCGCCCCAGCCCCTCTAGTAATAAGTACCCCCCCCCTAGTATGAATAGTAGTATATAAGGTGGTACTAATTAGTATGGCGGTTGGGAGGGAGGTTGATGCAAGCCCAGGAGGACTTCCACAAAATTTGGGAACTCTTCTTGGGCCTTCCTAGCATAAGGATCAATGTAGATTGGGGTCTGGCTTGGGATCCCCCATTTCTGGAAACTACCACCTACACGATGCTGACGAGGATTTTCTTTTTCTTCATCGTCATCATCGTGATCCAATGAATCTTCAAGGATGATGATGATGATACGGCTACCAAGATTTTCTATGAGCATATTAAATCAAGCTTGGACGGGTCCACGTTAGTTCTCCGGAAGCCCCGAGTTATACAGTCAAGTATAGAGGTGTATATATACGGATTGTATGCTGTGCGTGTCAATATACGTATACATACTGGAGTTATATGAGGTATACGTATATAAAGCCCAATTGATATGCATACCTTCTGTTTCAACGTTACACTATGTTAGGTTATAGTCTCCCTTAAGTAGATAGAATATGGCTATGGGTAGTTTAAAATACTGTAAGACCCCTATATACCCCATATTGTATCCACTTAAGAGGGATTATAACCCCAATATATACCCTGTTGTCATATAGTAGACTCCATTGTCTTTCCGCTATGCCTATATAAACCCAATAAACCCAACATTCCATCTACTTAAGGGGGACTGTATCTGCTATATCACGTACTTCACTGTGAAGCCTGTGGACCTCTGCGAACGGTTTCTAGTGCCGTCCTTTGACAGGGTACTACAAAGGGATTCTCAACCCTAGGGTTTAGGGTTTTAGTGTTTTTTGGTGTTGTGGAAGAAGGGATTTGGGTTTCGGGGTTTGGGTTGAGGGTTTAGCATCATCCCCGGCTGACTGCCAGCCGCTCAGGCAGGGGCATTCGTGGGGCTAGCCGCGGGTGATGGTCTCATCTGCCAAGCCTCATACGGAAGAAAATCCAGACTCTGGAGGGGTTGAGGGGCCCTGCGAGTTACTCCGGGATTAGGGAACTGAATGAGTTTCTTCTAGGGCTATAGTAGACTGCCTCTCTCAACAAGGAGGGGTTTCACAAATGCGGAAATTCAGGAGTATGCGGCCCTCTCGTGTCTTCTAGTTGAGTAGGGGTACCTTGGCTTGGGAGAACACATTCTTCTCATGTTGCTTCTCCGTGCGGCCCTGCTGTAATCTTCGTACACGCCTCAGAAAGCAAGCCAGCACTTATGCAAAGGGCTGCAAAAGGTAGGGGCACTTCGACAGTACCAAAACTCCCCTGAAGCAGCTAAGACTTCACTCTTTCCATGCACTCACACCAGCATCATGGATTCCCCTACTACGTCCCCTATAC